GTCGACGGGGATGATTGTCTGACTGCCGTACCCACTGGATGACTCCAACGAACTTTCACTTGTGCTACCGTCCTTTTCACCCGGTTCAGTCTGGACAAAGCAGAAGTGCCACACTTTATACCTATTATGATGTATCAAAAATCAAGAGAACACACAATTTCTAAATTAAAAACAGTCATTTATTATTGTTTGAGCTCTGGACTTAGCTGATCAACTGACTCACCCCATAGTCTGGTGAAATTTGAGGTTTTCACTGCAGCAAAGATACTGATTTTTATTACAAACATTATGAAGAAACATATCTCATCTAACTTCAGGCTAAAGACGGCAATGTCCGACAAGAAACTACATGGCATCATAACGTGAAAGACGACAAAACATGAAGTAAAAGTATCTGTATTACAAAAGACTGCCAAATTAATCTTTATCCTCGAAATAGAGGATTTGAAACCTTGTACTACGGGGTTAAACCACAAAATGCTCTGTTATGTTCTTTGCTACATATTATTTATATTTAAATCTGAAGATAGGCAATGTAACATCATCATTATTTAACACAAGAAGCTAACAGAATTACATTCTAAAGCAATGCAACGTCTGTGATATTGTACGGCTGTGAAGCAAGCACGAATGACTCCAGGAACAATGCACAAATTACATGTGTTTGTTACGAATGTGTGAGGTTTCAGGTGTACAAATACAATGTGGGCTTAAACTCCAAACATCAAACTAAACCTGAAATTATAAAGATAAAAACATGCCAATATCTGCGTATACGGAGCAGTAACTTTCATCTGAGCCCTATTAACAAAAGCAGCGGTGATGCCAACTTCCCTTCAAATGCTTTCATCTATACCTTTCCTTATCACGAACTCGACAATTAAAAATTACATGATTCTATGATCCACTTTCATACATTTACTGCTACTACACATTTCTAAATGTTAAATTTTCCAGATATGACCTCGAAGTTTTGCAAAATAACCATCTTCCTTTTATAAGAAAATCTTTTTAAAATTAATACCCTGCTGTCATGTATGTAGCATCACTTTTTTCAGCTCAGAATGAAATTTAATATATCTCGAGTACCAGAAGAATATTCTGAAAGGACACCCAATGGATATGGCTCGAAGTTGTTTAATGCATATACTGTAAATAACATGCACAAAAGCTACTCGGTGCAGAATATTTCATGGAAAGGGATAATCTGGCAACAGGAAGTTCAAAAAATCTCTTACACATATACCAACATGTTTCTAGTGGCAGGCAAATTCCATGTCAAGACAAAAAATAAATATGAGGGAAATTATGACTGATTACAAAATGTTCTGACAGAATATGCTTCTGGTTTGTGACAGTGGAGAGAGACCAAAGCCTGACAGTGATAGTGCAGTGACAAATAAGCTAAAAGTATTGCAGCAAAAGCCTCGGTGGTCACGGGAAACTTTAAAGTGGGAAGACCTTAAGTTACCTTGAAAAGAACACTGGAGACAGAAATCAACACTGCAGGAATGTCATGGAAACAAGTTGGAGCTCTACCACAGAACAGAGTTCGATGGCGAACCTCTGAAGCAATCTTTCGTTCCACCTACGAATTACAGGATTAAAAGAGAGAAGATATCTGCTATTCAAAGTAATTACTTAACTAACTTCACTGGAACCCGGTCACCGACCACTCACCTTATCTTGATTTTCTGGTGGAATGTTGACAAGCTCTGGAGGGGGAGGAGGGAAATTCATTTCTTGAGCTTTGGTAGCAGCCATTGTAGCAAGCTCGTGCATGTTCACGTACATAGGCTGTGGGGAATCTGCAAGAAAACATCCGAGGTGACCTTAAACAGAATTGAGCGAGAACACGGAAAACACGTAATTTCCGAATATATTCCTTCTCATTTTGCGTAACCTGCTGTAAGTCACTGCAGTACAGATCTGCCACTGTAAAGTTAATCATACTACGGGAACCTCACTGCACAACACGAAATTACTGTTCCTTGTTGTTATGTTAAATGCTCAACATACAAAAACATTTCAAACAAAAGTTGTAGACATTAATGCGATCCATACATCACGGCATTTGGCGATTGTTTATAAGATCTACTTTTTTAAATAAAATCAGCGGAGTGTGATCTGTGCTGCATTGAAAGTGACACTCATACCTTGATTCAAACCAAAATTAATTTTACCTGTCAACTTTTAAATTTCCCAATAACAAATTTAACTCAAATCCATCAAGTATTTTCACAAATAAAAAATGCAGAGGGACAGATGTGAATTTTTCAATGTTTAATTTCTGTGCTAAGAACATTTGTTCCTGACCTTTCCCCACGTGAACATGCTGCATAACAGTCTTGGGTATCTTTGGAACCTCGGCCTTTGTGACTTGCGTCATGTGGAGGTGTTTGGCAGTGGTGGTGGTTGCGGTGGCAGGCCTGTGCTGGGTCGCAGTTGCGGTCTTGGCAGGCACTGAGGGTCGCTCCAGGGAGGAGCAACGTTGCGGAATGGGCGGGCGGGCATAGATCTGGTTCTGTGGAGGCTTATAGGGAGACTTCTGAGGACTGGCCATTCCAACAGCAGCACTCTTGTTGGGATCGGAAGTGACGGCGGTGGTCGCTGTCGCTGCGGCGTTAGAGACGGAGACTGGACTGGTGGGCTGTACATGGGAGACTTCTGGTGCTTGGAACGTGTAGACTGTAAGAGGAGGTCGCTGGTGCCCTCGCTCATAAGCTGAGAACAGAACATTTTTCATCAATTCTAATAGAATGTCTTCAAAAATGCACATTTCAAAACCAAGAAACTTCTGAAAAAGGAGGCGGCGAAAACTCACAACCGGGTTGTAGAGCCAAGAAACAACAACAACAACAATAGAATGTCTGACAGGTTAATATTATAAAAAGTTACAAATAAAAAATATGTATGTCTTGTAATTGACAACTATTGACAGGACAGTACATGTAGCACATATAAGAGAAATGAGATCATAAACAGACACATTGCTTGTACAATGCCGTTACACCACACATGCTGACATGTCACCTGAAGATATAGTGTGCGGGCGATCGCTCATGATGGCCGTGGCCGCGCGCTCAAACTGCAACGTCTCTTGTAGGTTTGGCCACGTGGCAGTAGTGTTGGGCAACGTCCCTGTGGTGTTACCACCTCCTCCAGCCGGGTATGGTGTTGAAGGTGTACTCGAGTTACTGCCACTGTGTTCTGACATGTTGGACACCTGGTGACATGGCAACACTGTCAGTGCATATCAAGACTGCAGGAATAAGGGGCAAAACATATAACAGAAAATGAAGAACTGTACTTCAGTCATGCAGTTTGACAAAAATATGCGTAATTGAAGTACTAAATCTTTACGACAACTATTCAGCTGCAGAGATTATATAATGTAGAATGAGATGGAAAGATCATGAATGACAGGGATTTGGAAGATGGTAGTCATGGATTATTTGAAAGTAATATTCTGGCATTTCACTGAAGAAACTGAAGAAAACCTTTAAAAAAAATCTTGGGTCTGCCTGGCAGAAGTTTGAAATGAGTACATATCAAATACAGTACTAGTGTGTTGCTTCTACGCCAGTGTCAACTACATCCCAGCACATAAATCAGCATCATCTAATAAACAATGAAGGAGGTAGGCCATTTGTTGATCTGTTCGAAGAGTTGATTATCAAAAAGTCCCATTAAAGACCATCCGCAGTTCTTAATTCATGTGATTTAAAAATATTTTAAAATAGTTTCAAAAGTCTACTGCTTTGTATTCTGTCAACTTTTGGGATCGAACTGATCTAACTTTTATATTAAAAAATTATGTCCAATGTAGTTTCTGCATTTATTTATTTTTATAAGACTCGCGCATGATACAACCTCACTGCTCTTATGGTGGATGCAGCAAGCACCTCTCAAACCTCGATAAACTTCTACCAGACTATGCGGTGCAACGATCCAGAAGACAGCCATCTTTCTTCCACCTATGGTTTCTATGCCATGTTAAGTTGCAGGTTCCCTTTGCTGGCATTCATTATCACTTTTGCTATCTACTGTTCTTGCAACAAGTGAGAATAAGAGGGTGCAGTACCTGTACCCCATGTATGGAGGCGGGACGCGGAAACAGCATGTCCTGCGATGTGAAGCCTGAGTCCTGTGAGGAGAGACTGGAGAGGCGAAGAATGCCCGCAGGCAAAGGATGCTATACCAACACGACAAAACAAAAAAGTAATAATGCACACTAATAATAAAACAAAATAAAAACAACAAAACAAAAATACACAATAAAAATAAAATAAAATTTAGATTCATGCTAAGTACATATGGGACTCTCCATTGCTCACCTCAGGTTAAAAACTGCTGCACCCAAGTTCAGACGAGTATCGAGAACATGGCTCGTGCCCTTTTATCTACGCACAAAATGAATACATGATGGGCAGACTGTCTTGCCTGTGGTAAAACTCATATTGTGCCATGTAGTTTAGTAGGAAATGACAAAAATTTCAGAGATACATCCTTACTGCCTACATCATCAGGGTGACGGAGGCAGTAAGTACTTCCGTAACATCAATTCCTACCCGGCTACACGGCATAACATCTGAGAAGACAGCCATCTTCAATTCTTATCCTCTATAAATCTCTCAAATCGGATAAGAGGATAAGTTTTGAAAATTCAAAGTAGTTGAAACAATTATCTCACATCAGGCGACAAACAGTCCCAGGGTAAACAAAAGACATAAAAGAGACCCGGGACGAGGTCTGATGCGGGAAGACCTAAACAAACCTGCGAGAGTGAGCGGTGCCAGTACTGGTGATTCGGAGAATGGTGCGACTTCGTGCTGCCACTAGAGGAGCTGTTTAGGGAGCTAATGCTGCACATGCTGGATTTACGGGACCCCAGCGAGCTTGGACTACTGGGCGGTGTCTGGAATGACCAGTTGCTATCTGAGCCCTTCAGGTCTGTGATTACCTGCAAAAGAGCACAACTTGACGGTCGAGAGATGCAGTCTACGCAACCTGTTGAAACCTGCTCGAACACGTCTAAACCTCTACAGATGTGCCGAAACTATTGTAAACTTGTCAAAACCTGTTGAAAAGGCGTAGAAACATGTCGGAAGTTGTCGGAAACTGTCCACACGTGTCTAAACGCCTCCAAATGTGTTCAAACCATAGTCGTCCTTCCAAGATTACTTTATATGAAACCAAAACTGTGTAAAAGTTTAGAAAGCTTATAGATTAATAGAATGATGGAGGAGAAAATATAACAAAGCAAACTGCTCATTTCTACTCCTTGTGTCACTTAAAAACCCACATCCACTGCTCTGCAATTATGATCGTGAACAGTGATTTCAGACAGAGTAGTCATGGCCTACCTTATGATTATACAAAGAAAACAGGGCGTGGATTGAATTCAGTTGGCTGAAAACTGGGTCCAGTGAGCAGGAAATTTCTTGACCAGTTGAGCGACTATCAGGTTATCGAGTATTTTGTCCCAAGAATTTAGTCAGTCACATGAAATAACAGGTGATGAGTGCCTATTACGTAATTATCTCCCAATTCTTAACGTAGTAATTCAAGCAGCTTTAAAGGTAAGTACCTGTTCACTGGCAGGTGGCAGGGTGAAGGGGTCTGTGGTGAGTTTCTGCACCTGGTCCACCACTTCTTGCAGGTGAGACAACTCTGATAACATCGCTACTTCCTCATCCTGCAACACCAGACATGACAATGCATGTTATGCCCAAGGGACTATAGTGGAGACAGGCAATAATGCGAAGTGAAAGGAACGAAGCACGGTGAAACCTGAACGTCTTTCCCTTCGAAGCCACGTACATTTAACACAGGTACTTGCTTCCAGATAAAAACATTGGGCAACACATTTTAAATGATGATAATTTTGTTAATGATTTCACGAGTTAACAATTCATGCTGTGACACAGATGATTAACCACTGACTTCAATTTTTTGACAAGTTGAATATCTCAGTAATAAATCAATTTCATGACTGACTGAATGAATGTATAAATCACACAAATTGTGATTCAAACTGGGTAAGACCAGAAGTTTCAGGACACCAAAAACTTATTTAATCTTGAGGAGATACGACTCACCACTACAGGTTTAAGGAATGCGACGAAGAGGCAGAAACGACTGCGTTCCTCGACCAGCGCTGCCCTCACTGCTTGTTTCTCAGTCTCCTCCAGGATATGGCGACGCTCAGTCACGTCCTGCTGCGAGGTCTCCACGCGTCGCTGTAGTTCCCAATTCTTCCCTTTGCGTGCTTTTTTCTGCAACCGCAGGGTGTCTGTCGATCGTTTCTTCAACTCTGCCCTCGCTCTTTTGTATTCTGTGACAATAATTCAGTAACATGTAATAATAGAAAATTCTTAACTCTCAATAGACATAACAAGGAATTTATCTGTTAATAAAAGTGTGTGTTAAAGATGTATTTTCTGATATCAGGTAACTATTTTTTCATCACTGGTGTTTCAAAAAATATATGGAGGTGCACCAAACCCACGGCAGGCCGTGGGTTGAGCGAGAACCCTTGCTCTTAACTGTATGTAAAATAAGTAGGTTTCATAGATCACTATCACGAAAAAAGAAACAATTAAGTTATCGTTCAAAGTGTACTACAACAACAACAACATATATCAGATCTAAAACTTCTTGACGATGGTGAAGAGTCAATTGAATAAAAATTTCCTTGGATATTATCCATCGTCTAGTAAATATAAAACGTAAAACGACGTTTCGGAGATGGGCCCAACTGTGTAGGAACCTGAAGATGGAGATAGAGTCCCATCTCCGAAACGTCGTTTTACGTTTTATATTTACTAGACGATGGATAATATCTAAGAAAATTTTTATTCAATTAACAACAACATAAACTTCTATTAAATTATTCAATTGTACAATTTCAAACAGAAGGAAACTTAAGGACAAAGAAGTCGTGGCCTATTTGTAAGTATGGCTGGACAGAGAAAACCAGTGACAGACTGCAGTTCTTCAAAATTCCACCTGCAAGTATCGCTTTAACCTTGAAACAGGAAGTTAAAACAAACACAAGCGAGAAACACATTTGGATACTCGGTTACTTAAAGTGACAAATGAAAGTGGGTACTTCTAATGTACGTACACGCAGCACTGAAAAGCAAGGTGTTAAGTGCAATGGGCAGTATTAACAAAGGAGGCAAACCTCTAGCCTCGCCATATGTCAGCGTCGTCATGAATCAGGCCTGTACCAGCAACATCCACAAAAGATTCAAATTTAATTATTCTGTGACAGAATTAAATACATACAAACTCTTGGCTTGCGGTACAGACAGTGGTCCTTGAATGTTGGAGCTGGTCCTTCAGAGTGGACATCTGAGGACGAGGCATCAGCCCATAGATATTTCTAAACGCATTCAAACGTCAGTTTCATTTGAATGCAAATGACAACAGCGAAGTATCTGCTTGATGGCATTTCGCCTCTGGCACATATGTTTTCCGCTTCCAACTTTTACTCCACTCCGTCCATTGAAAATGAATAAAAACATCAACTTAAAAAAAAAAAACTGGAACAGCGCCAGTATTTACACAGCGAAGTGACTAAGACAAAGCTGGCTATTTGTGGTTTATTTAACGACGCTGGAAAAAAAAATCGAATGAAAGGATGATTATGAATTGGAAAGGACGTGGAAGGAAGCGGCCGTGCCCTAGAAAACTACCATCTCGGAATCTGCCTGGAGGAAACGAGGATAACACAGAAACCTCAGTCATGACGAGATACGAACCTTGGACCTATCGAATAAAAAGCAAGAGTGCCAACAGATGGGCAGCGACGATCTGTAACTTCTGTTTAGGAAATGTACAAAACAGATCAAACACAACAACTTGCTTATTAAACATTTTCAGAAATACACCCCCCCTCCCTTAAAATTTTAAAAAAAAAACTTGTACCGAATTCCGACAGATCTGACCAATCTGAAGTCGGGGAAACTGTGGAAAAGGTGGACGTGGCTCACGATCGTGTCCAAGGGCGGGACTTCGTGTCAGTGACGGTGAACCTTCTGGTTCAGCTGCCAGAGTCACGCCGGAGTGCTCTCAGAGCCTCGATGCGCTTGAGTTAGGGTTCAAGTACCGCCGAGGGCAAGGAGAGAGAGTTGTGCTTCGTCATCACGCGTCACTAAAACTCCAGACACCAGTTTTCTGTCCAACCCTCTGAAGCCCGAACCTCGCCTAAATAACATTTAAGAACTCAGTCCGTACCGCGAAGAAAACACCTCACTTCACCATTACAAATGTCAGCTGGGCTTTAAAGGGCAAACGACGATGACCATGAATAGCTCCTTATTCGGGAGCCTACCGATTACGACTGAAATATTCGTGGTATGCTGGATGCTTAAAAATAGGCCACGACCGCTATTTTCCATTTAATGTTATGTGATTACACAGCCGGAAAGGCGTCGTTAAATAAACTGGAAAGGCACATCTGAGCGTCGGGGGGTCAAATTCAGAGACTTCCGACATATTTGTGTCACACGTCACAAATGTAATTACAGCAGTAAACTCCGGAACGCCCGTCTCTTGGCTACTATCTAACTCTTTAAAGGCCACTGGTAACTATAAGTACCACCTGCTTTTACATTAAAAAAACTCTGCATTTTGCCGACAGAGTGCATTTATGTGTTCACCATGATTCTAGAAATAAACATCGAACATTTCCTTAAACAACGTTAAGCAGTCGATCTTTGTAATGGTGAAGTGCTGTGTTTTCTTCGCGGTACGGACTGGATGTTTAAATAGACGAGTTTTAGAAGCGAGGCTACGCGGAAATTTCTAATTGCTGCTTAGTACTCTGAAGAACGTGACTGCGAGTCTTAAAAAGTAAACCCAGGACTGAACACACAAATTCTCAATCCCCTATCGGGGCCTGAATCCCGAATCTCCGGGCCCTAGCTAGCGCGATCTTACTAAGAAATGAAGACGACAGCAAATGAAGAAAAAAGAAGCAGAAAGAGGGCGGAGAAAGACGAAACATATGGACAACAAGTAGCGATGAATAATAGATGCAGAGTTGTGTGCCAGGAGGGTAGGCAACCGATTATACGTATATGTCACGCGTTTGCCCAGGGATTGCCCTCATTTCGCGCCGTCTGTCAAAGAAGATAAAGTAGGACGAACTCCAACCACTTTCTTCCAGCGCTCTCTGAACACTCCCTCTGTCTGTCAAGGACGACAGCAGTTATAACAAAAGAGCAGCGTGTTTTGTAAACGTGCAATTTCCAACACTTCAGTGGCCTTGAAATTCATGCAACAATGACGAATCTATTATCACAAAGCTGTTCACGCTCCGGAGTCCGGAGTTTCAACTTTCTCTGCACTTCGTTTACATTGCAAAACACTTCGGAGTTTGTACATCTTAATATGATTCACACTGTACTGTATGTTATGTATAAACGCTGTTCTGATGATGGAGGCAGCAAGGACTTCTGAAACGTCGGCAAACTTCTAAGAGACTGTAACACGGTGCAACACCCCAATAGACGGGAATCTTCTGTGGATAAGTCGGTTTTTGTAAAATATTCGGAATTCGACTCGAAAGACCGGGCGAGATAAGAGAGCCAGCCAGCTCGATACATAAAACAGATACATTCATTCATTTTATTTGGAGAACAAAGAACTCGGTTGGTAGCACTGCTTCTTGTACATCCCCGTGTTTCGGTTTCCAGCTGCACGCCAACTACGAATGATTCAGACGACGCGAACAAGTAAACAATGTAGCAAGAAACGCGTTGAGTCTACGGCAAAACAAAGGAGGATCGCTCCAATTGCGAGGCTTGCACGAACAGGGTTCGGCTCTCACGTAAGGGAAGACAAACACGTGGGAAACAAAATAAAGCGGGGAAACGCGGAGGACCGGAAACGGAGAAATCGGTCATTCGGTGCATTGAAATCAATTGGCGAGTCACCACTGGCCTTTTCGGGTTAAGCATAAATCGTTTTGCTGTCGGAAGTGTCCTTTTGTATTTCGTGTTTCGTGTGATTCTCAGAATAAACAGCGACTATTTCCTTAAACAGCGTTAACCAGTCGATCTTCGTAATGGTGAAGAGTTGTGTTTTCTTCGCGGTACGGGCCGTATCCTTAAATAATATTTAGACGATCTTCGGCTTCACGGGTTAACCATTCGATCTTTGTAATGGTGAAGTGTTGTGTTTTCTTCGCGGTACGGACTGAATTCTTAAATGTTATTCAGAACTGCCTTCAGTTCCCATTCTATAAGACGTCTGCTGTTGCGAAGTCTTTAGTTACAGATCTCGAACTGTCTGCAAACGCAATCCCGGAGAAAAGCTGGAAAACTCCGGCTGTGGCGTGTCTTAGTCTGCGCTCACAGGACCAGGGTCAACGTCCTAGTGTCATAATAACGAACCCCAAGGTTGAAGCATCCGTCCGCTCGTAAGGAGCTGGGAGGTACATTACCGCGGTCACAAAAGCACGCCACTGAACCCTTCAGTAAATAAATCGATGCGTTCCTCTCACAGTGCATTCTGCCCCCCCCCCCCGCAAGGTAACAGAGCTGGTGCATGCAGCACAGTAAATAAAGGAATCAGAAAACCGCGTATAAACTGGCTGCAGACTAATTTGCGGGCGCTGCTAATGAGAGTCTCGCGGCTCAACTCGATTACCTCCCGATTTCAAAATTTTACGCTTCATTCCTCCGGGTTGCACGAGCCATGACTTTTAACGTGACAGGGACAGGACACGACCTATCATACCGCCACAACTCACTGCAGAATCCAACACCGACAGCGCTGGTGTTTCACCCACCTCATAAGTTTGCGCTGTACCAATGTTGGTATCGTGCGTCTACAGTACTGGTTACAGGAAGATTATTAAATTTAAACGACAAAGCGTCGCACTGTTCCCAATTTTGCTACGTCTTACCTTTGGCGTGTTCTTTATCTAGATTCACCACCGATTTCCTCCAGTCTTCCAACTTCTCCTGCAGAGGGACCACCAGACAGTCCATGATGGCACTACAACAAACAACGACACACCTGAGTGGCCTTCAACAGCAAAGAGTTTTAAATCTGGCAAACAATTGAGCTCGCGTTGTGTCTTGAACCATACTGAAAGTCACAAACAGCCGAAACACAACGGTAACTATATGTACCACCTGCTTTAACAACCTCTAACTACATTTTTGTTATATATGTGTTCTGTATGACACCTGCTGTAAACAGCGATTTATTCCTTAAACAGAGTTAACCAGTTGTTCTCTGTAATGGTGAAGTGCAGTGTTTTCTTCGCGGTACGGACTAAATTCTTAAAATATCATTTAGATGGAGCATCGGTTTCAAAGGGCTAAGAAACGTGCTGTATTCTATCTACCACAATCGACTAAGAAAGTCTGCATGTGCTCGACATGCTTTGCCAATTAAACCCACTCCTTGACATTTCACGGGGGAATGCGCTTGAATGACGTTTAAATAACACTTTGGACTTTGTGCTTTGGACTCAGAATCTAAGTGAACGCGTCACGCGCAAAAGCATTCAGACAGAATTCAAGGCACGGGGCGTTACAGCCGAAGAGACTGTGAAGAAGACGCGAGGATGAGGGGCGAAGCCTCTTGAACAGGCTGGAGCCAGTCATCCGTGGCCCCAACCAACCCTCATTTGCCGATGCACTACTCTGAATAAAGTCGGTTTGACTGCGCCTTGCTTCCAACCACAAACATTTGCCTGCCTCTTACTGGACCGACTTCAATCTCTGAGGACAAGAAGTCCAGAGGACTTGCCTCGTGTCTCGTTTAAATATGACGTAACATTTAGTGTACACGCGTTTTTCATTATCAAGTGGCTCCTTTATCAACAAAATTCTAAATAGTATTTAAAATTCAGTCCGTACCTCAAAGAAAACAGGCGTCCTCATGACAACGATGAATTTGTTAAATATGTTTAAAGAAATAATCGCTGTTGACTCTGTAAGCTCATAAATACAATCTGTGAGCAAAATTCAGTCACTGAATATCAAAGCACGTGGTACATAATCCGTACTCATGGCCTTAAAAGGGTTCATTATTACTAATTAACGCAAAAGAGAAGATTCCTTGAGAAGCTGACAGTGTCTCAGGTCATCAATAAATCCCCTGCGGAAATCGACGTTTCGCTACTATGTTCACGACAACCCAGCACTGCTGCCACAGTTACCTAGGCCCTTTAAGATGATTCATAATGTTTTAAAAGGCACTATTTTACGCAGCGGTTAAGCCTATTCAGTATAAAATTATTATAAAACGTGCAAGGTCAGCCGGTCTTCGTGATAACATTCGAATCGACACCCTCCTAAATACAATGTTGACCGCTACAACACGATGATTAGATGCAAAACAGAGAATTGCTGAAGGCGTTCCACCGATTTATAATATCATCTGAAAGTTCGCTAACTGAACTCTTCCTGAAGAAGGCACCTGTCACGACGAAACACCGTAATCTTCGTCGTGCTCTTCCCCTCAGTGACCGACTTTTCCTTCATTCCTTCCTTCCTCTCCCGTTTGTCACATTTTTGTCAAATCATAAATCAAATATCTCTTTTAATCTCTGCTGGTTGCGCAACAGTGTTTGCGTATATTTATCCAGGGGATAAAGAATTGTTTACAGAACCATCAGCTTATGGTGTAATAAGAGAGCGGTTACAAAAACAGATAAGATAAACAGTTTCAAATGATAACAAGTTTCAATTTAATAAGCCTGTAATGTTGCTTTGCTGGGTCAAAATGAATCCGGTCTCTTGGATCAGTTGGTTTGGTCAAATTGCGTTCGGAGAATCCTACATACACTGAACAGTCACTGGAAGTTAAAGTACGTGGTACACATAGTTACCACTCTGCTTCGAGGAGAAGGAGGAGGAGGACAACCCAGTTTCAAAAAGTACTTCGAGGGCAAAGCAACTGATGGGAAAGAAAATTGTAGCCTATTATGAGGTTGGACACCGAACTGAGTAAAACCACGTAACACCAAGCTGCGATTTCAAGTGTTCAAATACAAATCCTGTCTGGCACTTTAATTGATTTCTCCACTTGCAGAGACTTGAGTAAAACCACGTAAAATTCAGTCAGAAAAGATTGTGCCCGACCAAGATTCGAACTGGACACACCCTGTATACTGGTAGTTAACAGAAAGCCAGCGCATACTGTAATCATGACTTAATGACTTCACTGTGATCTCTGGTTGTACGTCAAAACACACGTAATAGAAACAACCTCCCTCCCTCTCTCACTGAGTCACATCTCCCAGAAACCGCCAGATAACTCTTCTTATAATCGGAATGTGTCGATTCACTTCTATTGTTAAGCGACGGTCGCCGTGCTGGGGCGGCAACTTCTCCGGCACGTGCGCGCGGCGTGTTGTCTAAACAGATAGCCGCAGGCAAAGTGTGAAACTCGAGCTGACCTCCTGGGGGGCGTGCTGCATGGATCAGCAGCTTCACGGCACGATAGAGTGGCCAATAATATCACTTGATTCCCGGATCATTTATGGACCATTCACAAACATAATTCTTTTACTAGCTTTAAATTAAAAATAAACTGGAACAAACTTGGAGAAAAGTCATCGTATTTTAAGGTACTAACTGCACTGAAATTAATCTAAACATTTTACAGCAGGCCCTGAATAAAATCGCGAATCTTAAGACAATAGATCTCCATTTATTTATTATTTTTATTTAGTGTTCTGTCTGACGACAGGTCCATATGAACAGGATCCTTCGATCCTTTTCTCGGACTGGGACCTGTTCATATACGTTCTTGGCAGATGATCCAGAAGTGGTTTGCCATTGCCTTCTTCTGTGTGTGAATGGAGTAATTGTTGGAATGCCACGGAGGAAGACTCCGTGTTGCCTAGACCACGGCCTTGCCCAACACAAGTTATAAATTCGGGCACCGCCGGGAATCGAACCCGGGACCCCAGGATTACAAGGCCAGCGTTGTAACCGCCATAAGCTGCACATCTGCTGGGTGGCAGGAGATAGGCGACTGTTTTACCGGCTGATAAAAATATGTTCAGGCGAATAAAGATGTCGAGAAGTGACTAGTGCGTTCTAATGGCACTTTTAATATCTGTTCTCGGAACAACGTGGACTGTGTAGTGGGAGGCCAGGAATTCTCCTGTTGGCAAGGCAACAGCTCAGAACGCGCATGTAACAGGTGTCTTGCTCCTTCGTCCCACGTAACATTACATTCACATTCCACACAGCCGAGCGCAAAATGAACGCATAATGGGGAGGTAGTGTCGGTGCACTCAAATAAACTGAAGGTGACTGACTGTCTTCTGGTATGTTGCGTCGTGTGTGCCGACGTTTCAGAGATACCAGAAGACTAACCTTCATACCAGCGACATGAAAACATGTGAGCGCGTGATAACATACACGTCAAGTGTTCAATAGGGAAGAAATCGGGCAGGAAACATTTATTAAAGAAACTTACTGCGAGCGATAAGGAAGGGAATCTGTGCCAAGGCCAGAGTTGTTAATGACAGACGCCCAGCTGCCTATAAATGGAAGCACTGCTTTCAGCACGGATCAAGTCCAGATTTAGAAGCCCAAAGCCAAAACGTCCTGTCTCTTGATGAAAGCGATGCCAGTTTCCGCGGGACGTCACCACCAGACGCGCGTGTCAAGATTCCCAACCCCCTCGTGGTGGCATCACCGCCTTAGATTGTGCTACTGATAACGTTAAGGGCGCAGCGCTGTACAGACTCGTCCTAGGTAAAAGAAATGAGCGTTTGATTTGCAACAAAGTCCTCCTCTTTAATTCTTCCCCCCGTATTTTGTCACATAACACGATTCTCCTATGGCCTCGGTACTTATGGGACACCTCGTATAACCTGCCAAAAATAATTTTTTTTGCAACTAATATCGAATATACGAAACGTGCCAGAGACAGGGCAGCCAATCAACATGACCAAAAGTCACATAAACGCGGTTTAAAGATGCCGGAGTGCTAAGGGAGAAAATTGGGGGAAAAAGACGTCCCCCCCCCCGCTGAAGGGGAAGGGCTGTTGAGAGCCCCCGGCGGAGGGTTCGAGAGGCATGTAATGACCAATTTGCATGTAGAACCGACAACGAGAACAACCCCTCGACACCAGCTAGGTGGATGCATGAGGAGAGGACAGGCCTCGAAGACGCTCACACGAGACAGTCCTCATAATGGTGACGTCAGACGTTGTCCTTGTTAAAAATTTAAAGCCCACAGAAAGCTATACTACCACCTGCTTTAACATTCAACAGTTCTGCGTTTTGCCCACGGAATATATTTATGTATTTCGTATGATTCTCAGAATTAACAGCGATTATTTCCTTAAACAACGTTAACCAGTTGATCTTAGTAATGGTGAAGCGTGGTGTTTTCTTCGCGGTACGGACTGGATTCTTAAATATTATGCACGCAGTGCGTGTCTCGTTATAAACAGCGATTATTTCCTTAAACAACGTTAACCAGTTGATCTTAGTAATGGTGAAGCGTGGTGTTTTCTTCGCGGTACGGACTAGATTCTTAAACATTACTTAGATGTGATTCGAGCTTGAAAATGAAATCCAATTGAAATACGTTCGCTGCATATACGATACGCTACATTACACGCGCCTAGGAAAATCGTGTTCTTCCTTCTTCAGGGCCAGTTCTGACAAGACACTCAACAAACAGCATATCGACGAAGGAAGGAGAGGAAGAGATTAAAAAGGGAAGTGACCAAACGGAGAGAGAGGGAGAAACACAAAAACGCGTTGCCCTGCCAACCGGGGCGAATCCTTACCTCGTGAAAGTCTTCATCCTGGCTTCAACAGCCTTGTGACGTAGGCAGATCCTTGTCAATGCTGTTCCAATCTCCTTTGTAGCTCCTGAAACAAAACAAACAAGATCCATGATCAGAATCTTTTTTTTTAAAAAAATCTAATAGTTACTCAGCTATTTAAGAACCCCCCCCCCCCCCACATATAAAGTTCTCCTTCAAGCCTCCGTCTACCAAGTGGCCTCTTCCCTTTAAGTATCCTTATCAAAATATTGTAAGCATTTCTCGTCTCCTGCATTTCTGCTACAAGCCACGATCTAATTCGCAGGGATCTAAGAGATGAAATTATGAACTGGTCTCATCTCGATCACGATAGAGACCGGTGGCGGGCTCTTGCGGACACGACTAAAACTTGAAATAAAATTCGTGCGTACGAATTTTACATCACATATCAATCATTTTGCACGGTAAAGAGTTTCTGAGGAAAATCGTGGTTAATATTTGTAGTGGGTGCGGAGTAGACTCTGTTATTAGACTGATATGAACTATAAATTAAACCCGCCCGATAACTTTTATTGTTCGTCCCCACTAAAGCGAAGTAAAATTAAGGTGTATTTAGCTTCATCCAACACGAAATATGCTTCTTCACAACACGTTCATTTTTCCACTAACGCTATGAATGCATAGGGGGGAAAAATAGTATCGGAACAACACTTTGACGATCTAGTCCCCCCCCCCCCCGACTTTCACTGTGAATTTAAAACCGCGCGCAACTAATGTTTTCCAGTTCAATCGTCCGTTCATTAAGCAAGATGAACCTGACGCAGCCTCCCCACACAAAAGCGTAATGGGGCCGCCATGTGTTGAAAAGCCAGCGCAGAAAGATAAGACTAATTTTAGAGTCGCCATGTAATCGATACGATACATGGTTATTTGCTAAAGGGCTGACTGAACACTGCACAACCGGGGGATGGGGTGGGGTGGGGGGTTCCCTTTCCGATATGAAATCGTCAGACGTCTCAGTCGGCCAATTAGTTTCCGAAACAACACACCACGCAGACATACGATTTAATAAATAACAATTCGAGCAGTTGGTTAATGTCGTTTAAGAAAATTACCACTGTTTATTTTAAAAATAATATGAAAATGTGCGGGGGGGAAGCAGGCTTCTGGATTTTTAAAACAGGCGGTACATATACTTACCACGGAGCTTTAAATGGTTAATATGCATAAATGTTTTAATGTCAGCAACAGAATTTCGCAGGAGATCACTTTTTTTTAACGTGTTCTAAATTTGCCTCATGTAAACTCGCCTTCACTTCGCGGAGTTCACGAGTACAGGGAAATACGATGTCTTGACTACACATTCTTGCGTCTGTGGAAACAGAGAATATGAAAGAAGGGGGGGGGATGGAGAAAATATCATTAAATGGGAATATAAGTCGGAGACTGAACGCACATTGGATACAACGGAGTCGGAAAGGCGTGAAGGACGACCGGTACGATCGATAATCGCGGAAAACGAAAAGAGGAAAAGTCGATACGAATTCATTCGCGGGGGATTCAGACTGTACCTTGGCATCACGACCCGTGGATCAGGCTACCGGAATGGCCAAAGGGCGGGAGAATTACATCGCACGGTGTTCATGATTTTTTTTTCCCCCATAACCTCAGCCGCGTAAAGAACGCCAAACAAAGACAATCGGGGTCACATCCTTTTTCGACGGCACAGGAAACAGCGGGAGAAAATAATCAGAGACCTCTACAACGAACGAACTGCCTATACGCAAACAAAATACAGGGTGTTCCACGTGAAATTTCGATCGAAACAAAACGTTCACAGTTGCACCTGCTTACAAATCAAATAAAGGGACCTGAATATCTTTCCGTTTAACCATTTTAAGCCCAGTGGTAACTATACATACCACCTGTTTTAATAGTCAGTAACTCTACATTATGCCACTGTGGTCCAGCGGTTAGAACGCTGGCCTTGTAATCCTGGGGTCTCGGGTTCGATTCCCGGCGGTGCCCGAATTTATAACTTGTGTTGGGCAAGGCCGTGGTCTAGGCAACACGGAGTTTTCCTCCGTGGCATCCCAACAATTACTCCATTCACACACAGAAGAAGGCAATGGCAAACCACTTCTGGATCATCTGCCAAGAACGTATATGAACAGGTCCCAGTCCGAGAAGAGAAAAGGATGGAAGGATCCTGTTCATATGGACCTGTCGTCAGACAGGACACTAAATAATAATAATAATAATAATAATAAATAACTCTACATTTGTCCACAGAGTACATGTAGGTGACTCGCATGGCTTTCGGGGCAATCGGCTACGATTTCCTCAAACAGCATCAACCAACTGATCGTTGTCATGGAGACGAGTTGTTTTCTCGTTGATATTGATACTAAAACGTCGCTGGCCCGTTAAATTAACGTGGTTGAGTTTCAAGCAGACAAAAAAAAACGTGTCAATCGACAGTCAAGGCCATGTGATGTGTCATGAGGGCAACATGAGCGGAAAGGATCCCGTTAGCTGCCTCGCAAGTTGTGGTAACTGGACTGTCAATACACGTCAGCCAATGAAACTTCGCCACAGAGGCCAATGCGCGAATCAGACACACTTTTAAGAACAAAAGAAATCTGTACATGTGCATGCTGGCTCTCATTTCTAAAAACGTCTTCTATTAGCACATCTCCATGGCAACGTAAGAAAAATCTTTATATTGCAGAAAGATCACTTCTACGTGTCCACAGATGACTGGAAACATTTCTTCCATGTCTCACAAAGTGAGTCCAAAACAAATAAAATTTGCGCACGCCGTGGAAAATGTTAAGAATACATTTAATTAATAAATTAATGTACTAGAAGACAGAATTATAATATCAAGGTGATTAATAAATTACTTGAAAATATGCCAAAGTACAGACACAAATCAAAATTGCAATGACGAATAAATTAAAATCACAAAAAAGTTCCCTCGCCTTCTCTGGAACCCTGGGACCGATCAAAACAATCATTAAGTTACCAACAAATCTGACATTCCTCGTTCAGGCGGAAAACATCTTCAGTGAGGTACTTACTGGCATTTCAAATGAGCTGAAAAACTTGTTCAACTCATCCCATTAAAGCCCGATAATCAATAACTCAAGATAATTTTCATATTGTTTTCACTGCGTAAACAGCGATTATTTCCTTGAACAGCGTTAACCAGTCGATCTTTGTAATGGTGAAGAGTTGTGTTTTCTTCGCGGTACGGACTGAATCTTTTTAATATCAATTAGACGAGCCACGGCTTCAGGGGTTAACCAGTCGATCTTTGTAATGGTGAAGAGTTGTGTTTTCTTCGCGGTACGGACTGGATCTTTTTAATATCAATTAGACGAGCCACGGCTTCAGGGGTTAACCAGTCGATCTTTGTAATGGTGAAGAGTTGTGTTTTCTTCGCGGTACGGACTGGATCTTTTTAATATCAATTAGACGAGCCACGGCTTCCAAGTGCTGCATAAGACCTGTGCATTGGTGTCACAAAGCCATATTCAGTCGCAGTCGCACGTAAGTACGTCTTGCCACTGCAACTTAACTGGGGGCCGCTAGTGGAGCCAGCATTACGCCATTAAACTTGTTATGTGACCGACTTTGCTTTCTCTCTTCCTGCGTGTCTATCCTCGATCCTTCCATCCGACTGCCAGCGCGTCAGACGAACGCAGTGACTGTCAGAATTAAAATTCACACTCAAATGGCACACAATCACGTGTTAAATGAAATAGCAAAACTCTTCACAGAACCGCGCGCGCCTTGCAACAGCGACAAAATAACCTTTTTGAAACTATGGCACAGTTCCGTGTATCAGAGGCGTAGTCCACGACACCCCTGCAATTTCATCTGTTTCAAAATGTATTTATAATTAAACCAGGCGATTTTGAAACACTTCAGCACAAACTTCAATAACACCAAAACAGCGTATTTGTTGTTTCTGAGGGTCTATACAAAGCCTGCACGGGGTGTGAAGGGAGGGGAGGGGGGGGGGTCAGGCTTGGGCTAAATTTCCTTAACCAGCGTCAACAAGCTGATCTTTGTAATGGTGAAGTGTTGTGTTTTCTTCGCGGTACGGACTGGATCTTTTTAATATCAATTAGACGAGCCACGGCTTCAGGGGTTAACCAGTCGATCTTTGTAATGGTGAAGAGTTGTGTTTTCTTCGCGGTACGGACTGGATCTTTTTAATATCAATTAGACGAGCCACGGCTTCCAAGTGCTGCATAAGACCTGTGCATTGGTGTCACAAAGCCATATTCAGTCGCAGTCGCACGTAAGTACGTCTTGCCACTGCAACTTAACTGGGGGCCGCTAGTGGAGCCAGCATTACGCCATTAAACTTGTTATGTGACCGACTTTGCTTTCTCTCTTCCTGCGTGTCTATCCTCGATCCTTCCATCCGACTGCCAGCGCGTCAGACGAACGCAGTGACTGTCAGAATTAAAATTCACACTCAAATGGCACACAATCACGTGTTAAATGAAATAGCTAAACTCTTCACAGAACCGCGCGCGCCTTGCAACAGCGACAAAATAACCTTTTTGAAACTATGGCACAGTTCCGTGTATCAGAGGCGTAGTCCACGACACCCCTGCAATTTCATCTGTTTCAAAATGTATTTATAATTAAACCAGGCGATTTTGAAACACTTCAGCACAAACTTCAATAACACCAAAACAGCGTATTTGTTGTTTCTGAGGGTCTATACAAAGCCTGCACGGGGTGTGAAGGGAGGGGAGGGGGGGGGGTCAGGCTTGGGCTAAATTTCCTTAACCAGCGTCAACAAGCTGATCTTTGTAATGGTGAAGTGTTGTGTTTTCTTCGCGGTACGGACTGGATAGCTTAGATAAAATTCAGTCGAGTTTCAGCTTTGACGGAGATGATTAATTAAACACGCTGTAAACGCAATTTTTCTGGAAGAGTTGTCGTGTTCATTACACGCGGCATACTTCAGCGCAACAAAGAGCTCGAGAGATCTGCAAACAATTACGTGTATCGCATGAAGCGACCGTCGGAAGCAGACATCTAGAGCAAGGACTCACAACGCTTGCTTTCCGCTGTCCTTCG